TTTCTTACCGAGTTGATTTTGCTCGTTAAGAAGCAAGTTGCCGAGCTGACGTTGCTTGTCAACTTTGAATTTCCTTGCCGAGTGGATTTTGCTCGCTAAGAAGCAAGTTACTGAGCTGACCTTGCTCACCAGCTTTGAAGTTCCTTGCCGAGCTGATTTTTGCTTGCTAAGAAGCAAGTGGCCGAGCTGACCTTGCTTGCCAACCTTGAAGTTCTTTGCCAAGCTGATTTTGCTCACCAACAAGCAAGTGGCCGAGCTGGCCTTGCTCGCCAACCTTGGAGTTCCTTACCGAGCGGATTTTGCTAGTCAAGAAGCAAGTTACCGAGTTGACCTTGCTCGCCAACTTTGGAGTTCTTGCCGAGCTGATTTTGCTCGCCAAGGAAATTACCAAGCCAATTTTGCTCGCCGAGAAGTAAATCATCAAACCAAGTTTATTTTGCTACTAAAGAGTTGCGTTGATTTTGCTTGCCGAGAAATGAATTGTCGAGCTGAGCTGGTTAAGTGGTTAACACGAAAGCCGAAGAACATTTTGAAAAATTGGAGCTATAAAGATTTGTGTAGCAGTGCAGCGCGGGCCTCGAAAACAAGTGATAAGACTTAATTGAGCTATCATGAAGCTTGATGACAAACCGAGCTAAAATGAAGATTATACAAGAATAAAGTAATCCCAATCAGGTTGTAACCGATGGGATTAAGGAGCAATTGAGAGGGGAAAATCCAATGAGCAGAATGGGCCGAGCTATGTGTGTGTTCGGTCGAGAAGTGTGGCCCGAGCTATGTGTGCAATTGAGGGGAATTTACACCGAACAAAGGACCGGACTACATATGGAATGGGCTGACCTAAGAATAGTCTGAGCTAATGACATGATCCTTTATATAGACCAAACAATATTTGGCCGAGCTGCGGTTGACCGGTTGGACAACTCAGAGCTGAGCCGATTGATGGAAGTTGGTAAATGGCCTTGTGCCTAGTTATGGATAGCTTGGCAGGAGTCACTACGTGGCCCAATTGGAGTGTGAGGAGAAAAAACCGTCAGTAGTTGCGTGTCAATACCGTTTGGCAGTTTGGCCAAATGTTGTTTGGCAGTATTGACGCGTACACGTGTAAGGAATAAAGAGGACAATACAATCATGTGTCCATAAAAGGACGAGCAGAGTGGTGTGCGCAGAAACGATTTAAACTGTGCAGCGCCTCCATACAACAGGTCTGGAACATTTGGTTATCAGAGCTACCTACCCCTTTGTCTCTCTCTCTTCTTCTTCTCTCTTAGTGTATTAACTTGATCATCGAATGGTTTTTCCAACAGCACATCGCCGAGTAGCTCACTGTTTTGTGTTTTCAGGTCACTCGGAAAGAAGCAAAGCTTGGACACAAGGAATACGGAAAATGACGAATATTTGCTCCCTGTATAGTTATGAACTTTGGTTGAATTATGGTCGACTTTTCACTGAGCTTGGTTTGTGATGGTGGGTTTGATTTCTTTGTTCCATTTTTTGTTGAATTTGGTTTGATTTCTTTGTTCCATTTTTGTTGGTGAGTTTGATTATGAACTTTGGTTGAATTTCGTTTTGCGATGATTGCGGATAATGATCTTGCTTCCACTTTCCTTTGCCATGGCAATTTGTTCCCTTGTGGCCGACACTGCACCTCTTGCTCCCAATTTCCTATCTCCTCTCTTTTGTTGGCCATTGTTGCACATTTCCTATCACTGTACCTCATTATCTACCCTTACAAGTCAACCATGGCTGTTGTAGTAAAAAGAAGAAAGGAAGCTAAGAATAGAATGGGGAAAAAAATGTGCCCAGCAAATTGAAGATTACAACCAAAAATAAAAAATTTAGAGAGTAGAATAATTTTCTAATCCTTATATATGGGATAAAATGGTATTTTTGTTATTTTCGGGTTATGTGGTTATTTTTTAACAAAGGGATGATCTGCATATGGACTAAAGCACAAGGGATGAAGTGGAATTTGCCCAAATTACTATTGTTTTCATTCAATACAAGACCACTAAACACCTCCAAACTTTGTGTATTTTGTAATTGCAACTCAAGGAGCATGATTAAATCAAAACTAGAAACAATAATGATTCGCTCTTGAATTATTTGCTTCCCCGTCCCTGAAATTTTCTTGATTGGAATCCACTCTTCCTTTCCGACTTTTGGAATTTCCATAGGTTTGGATATTATGGCAGGGCACTTAAGAGCACCATATTGAACCTTCTATTTCTTCTGGAAAGTTGAAAAAGGCATATCAACTTCTACACACCTTTGCAAAGCATAGTTTACAGCAAAGCTAGATTTAATTTTAAAATTATGATTTGAGTGTGGAATTGTATTTTGAGTTTTGAGTTAAATTTTCAAAAGAAAAATTTTGTTTGGTTATAAATTTTGCAAAGAGTTTTGAGTTGTATTTTTAAATTTTTTGGATTTATTTTTTTTAAATATTTAAAAATTTTCTTAATTTTATTTTTTTAGGGTAAATATTTTTTATTGTGTGCGTTGTATTTACTACATGTGTGTGTTGTATTTTAAATATTTCAAAAATTTTAAATGAGTGTATTTTTTTTTTATTTTAAATACAGCAAAGCTCGATTTAATTTTAGAATTATTATTTGAGTGTGATATTGTATTTTGAGTTTTGAATTAAGTTGTCAAAAGGAAAATTTTGTTTGGTTATAAATTTTGAAAAGAGTTTTGAGTTGTATTTTGAAATTTTTTGAATTTAGTTTTTTTAAATATTTAAAAAATTTCTTAATTTTTTTTTAGGGTAAATATTTTTTATTGTGTGCGTTGTATTTACTACATTTGTGTGCTGTATTTTAAATATTTCAAAAATTTTAAATGAGTGTATTTTTTTTTTATTTTAAATATTCTTAATTTTTTAATATTTAATTTTTTTTCCTTTTTTTAAATATTTAATTTATTTAAAACTTCAAAAAAATTTGAATTGCCCATATATATCTAAATCATAACAAATTATTTAGTCAACACTTAAAAAAATAACAAAATATTTTCTTCGAAAAAAAAATATTTTTGTTCAAAAATAAAAATAAACAAAATATTTTTTGAAATTTTATATTTTTTCAAAAAAATATAAAATAAAAATAATTTTAAGGAACAAAATAAAAAAAAATTGAAAAATTTAATAGAATTTTGAAAAGAGTTCGGTTATGAATTTTGAAAAAAGTTTTTGAATTGAGTTTTGAGTTATATATTATAAGTCTTGAAAATAATTTTTGAATTAAATTCTGAGTTATGTGTTTGGTTATGATTTGAGTATGGAGTTGTGTTTTGAGTTTAAAATATTAAAAAAATAAAATAATTTAAAAATAAAATAAAATATTTTAAATAAAAATTATTTATTTAAAATAAAAAATAAAATTTTCTTAAAATATTTTTAAATATTTAAAAAAAAATCCAAAAAAATTCTTTATTTTATTTTTAAATTTATTTTTATTATTTTTTTAAATTTTTAACTTTTTACAAATGTTAAAAAATTTTGGATCGCCTAAATCATAACAAATTATTTTGTCAATACTTAAAATTAAACAAAATATTTTTTGAAATTTTATATTTTCTCAAAAAAATGTAAAATAAAAAAATTGATTATTTTTAAACTAGAGTTTTTTTAAAAATTAGAGTTTTGAAAAAGAATTGATTATGAATTTTGAAAACAATTTTTGAATTGAGTTTTGAATTTTATGTTCGATTATGAGTTTTAAAAAGAATTTTAAATTTTTTTGATTGAAATCATAACTCCAAAACTAAATCAAACATGACCAAAGATTTTCTAATTGCACTGGCAACATAGAGCTCAAATCCTTTCAGTCCAAAATTCTGAAGGGTGGTCTGTAAACATCACCCAAATTGACAATAGTAGCTTCATACTGTGTGTGTTGTTCCGTTCATGTCGAATGAAGGGAAGCAGAATAAGTCACTCGATCTGATATGATATACTATATAGATTATGACTTGAAATACCCTCTATTGTATACTTGTAGACACATACACTTGATAAATTGCATGTTATATGCACTGGTTCTTTACTGACCTCCTTCAGACTTCGAAAACACTTGAAAGTAGTTTTATTTCTGTATTTCTGTAACACAATTTATAGTTTTCTGTTTAGTTGAAAACTGAAAACACACTTTGGTGAGTTGTTTTTATTTATTTACACAAATTGCAGGTTTACAAGTTTTGCGTGTTTAACGCATTGTGGCAACCACGTTAAACCATGTGTGAAAACAGTGTGCCAAGATGAGTTGCCAATTTGAATCCTCGCAGCTGCCAAAATTCTCATCCTCTCAAACACACAATGGTAACAAAGGGGGGAAAAAAAAAGGATTTCTTTCTAGTTCTCTTTGTCTAGTACAAATCATTCATGTAAAAAATTTAAATTAATTAAATAATATCGAAGTTACATGATGTAATCCATCACTTTAGTTATCAAAAATAATGAAAGGAATTACACTCATCTTCTTCCAAATTTTGATAATAATAAAAAATAAAAAATAATCATAGTTTTGATATTTAGTTTCATTTCATCAATAGTTTGTTGGTTTTACTAAAACAACCTAAAATTTACCCTTCATTATTTTGAAATTTACCCTTTATGTGTAATGTCTGATCAATTTGACTTTTTAAAATTTTGTTTGAAAAGTATAGTTACAAGACAAACGGTTCAGCCATGATAATAATGTCAAGTTATTTTAAAATTTACCCTTCATGTGTAAATTGTCTGATCAATTTAATTTTTTTGAATCTTACTTAGACATATTATTATAAGACAAACAATTCGGCCAAAATGTCAACTTCTTTGATGGACTCACACCAAGGCCTAAACATAGAAAGAACTCAAATTGATTTGTGATTATTTTCATTTGTCAAGACTTGTAGCAAATATTACTAAAAAAATTTAAATTAAATTTTCATAATTAATATCCATCAAAAGTCCTAGTTTTTGGAGAGAAAAGAAGATACATTTATTAGAACCCTGATTAATCCAACAACAAGATTTTATATATTATCACCAAACTCACACTACATTCAGGAAAAAAAAACAAAAACAAAAACAAAAACAAAAAAGCCCTAAAAATTTGTGCACCCCCAATTCAAAAATTCAGGCGGTGACCACAAAATTACACAACCCACAATATTTAAATTAAAAAAAAAAAAGAAAAATTATATCACCATATTATGCTCTTATTTACATAAATACCCAAACTACCTTCTTCACCACCCCATCAACCGTGGCAACCGAAAACAAAGATACGTACGTATTGTTTGTTATTCACCGGAGTCGTAGAAGTCGCCGGAGATTATCAGTTGCTCCGGCGTCGATTCCGGCAGCCTCAGCGTTGCAACAGAGCTTTGGCCTGAGTGAAAAAGTGGGCAAAGGCAAGCTGCTCGGCGGAGGAGAGAGAGTAAACACTACTGAACCTGAAAACTTCTCCAAATCACTAGAAGATGATGATAAAACCCTAGAAACATCCTTCGGAAGCGCCTTCGGATCCGGTCCGATCCGGTTAGTCGACTCAACAATCAAACGCTCAGTTGAGTCTCTCGTCGATTTCAACAAATCTCGTTTCGAACCTCCTTTTTTTGGACTGAGTGATGATGATGATTGCTTCGATTTCTTCGGAGTCAGAGACTGATCTCTATTTCTGTTGTTGATTTTTCGATTGATCGGAGAGCACGAAAAGCCTCTGGTTCGAGAATTGTTGTGATTAGGTTTGGGGATCGGAAGAAAATGTTGATCTTCGGGTTTCTGATTTGCTTGGGAAGAGGAAGAAGAGGAGGTTGTTGTTGTGGATTGTTGAGAAGTGAGATCGATGGAGGATACGAAAATGAGATAGAAGAATGTGGTGGCGCGCGAAGAACACCTCCGCGAAAAGCGAAGTTCTCGAAAGGTCGAGAAATGAGAGCGCTGTGGTTTCTGCTAGGGTTTCTGATTTGCTTGTATGGTGAAGAGATCGATTGATCTGGATATGAATATTGCAACAGAACTGGCTCCATATCCGAAATTTTCAGAATCAGAGAAGAGAAAGTGCAATAAAGTCCGAGAAAATTAAAGCAAATAACAAAGCAAAAAACAGGGAATGATCTCAAATAAACACGGATCAATCACCTCAAAATTTTCCCGAGAAAATTGTGTACAGAAAGGAAAATAATATACTTACAGATCTCTTTACTTCTACTAATTAACAAGAAACTAATACAGAAATTTACAAATCTATATAGAAATGCACAACGAAAAAAGTAAAACAAAACCTCAGAACAATCTAAGGTTAGATCTAGATAGAAGAGAACAAAGTTACAGAAAAGACAAATCAAAATTTTCTGTCACAAAAAGAAAAGAAAAACATTTATGTATATGTATGTATATATGTATAGAATTGAGATATGTGTAACGGATCTTTGGACCCAGATTTTCAGAGTGGCTGATGTAGTTTTTGAGAAGTCTCAACTGGAAACCTCTTTAAATAGACGAGAACTCCAACGGCTACTTTATTTTATTTTTTAATTTTATTATTTAAATAAATTACCAATACATTTTAAGATTTATTTAAAATATAATTTAACTATTTAATTATGAAAATTATATCTCACTTTTTCAAATTTTTTATTCAATAATGAATGACATATTTTTATTAATAAATCATTAAATTAAGTAACCGTTTTTAATAATTTTATAAATATATTTCAATAATAATTTAGGTAATATTATTATTATATGGGTGAAACGTTAAAAATTTTATTTCTTTTATTAATTTTTTTAAATAAAAAATTTTAATTAGTGTAAATTCTAAAATTTTAAGAAATAATTTATATTTTAAGTAAATTTGTTGTAGTGTATTTGTAATTTAGGGGTTGTTTGGGATGACCTAAATAAGTATACTTTTTGTCTTTTTACGAAAAGATGTGCAGAAAAATAGAGAGATGATGTGATAAAAAAAAGATAAAAAGATAGATTATTTTGGAGTTACCAAACTTGACCTTAGTCTTTTGTTTATTTTAAAAGATTTTTAAAATTGTTTTCTTCCTAATTTACCGACAACCCTTGCGGCCGGGATACCCACGAGACGTAGACCGGGTTGCAACCGCCAATTCGATAATGACCGTTGGATTCTATTATTTGGATAGAGCCGTTGAGGCGATTCTGACCGTTGATCCAGTCCTCGGGTTCCTCGAAAGGTTGTCTAGATCTGGAAGCGACTTGGAAAAATCCTAGCCATACACGTTTTCAATTATGTGGGCCCCTACAGTTTAAATAAAAAAATCTAAGGCGATTGTGATGTGTGACCGCATTTGCGCTGAATTGGGATTGGACATTAAAGAGATATGTCTTGGATTCTAATTTTTAAACTTTAAAGTGGCTCTAATAAATTGGCAAGAGATTTTATTTATTATCACGTGATATTTTGATTTTTATATATTTTTTTTCTTTTTATCATTCATTAGTACTTTAATTATTATTAAAAGAGATAAACGAATCAAATAATTTAAGTTAAATAATATTATACGTACTAATTAATATATAATTAGTGTATTAACAGATGATATAATATTATTTGTATGATTTTGAGTATTTGTAACTTATATAATAAATGTAGTTAATAATAGTATCATAACACTAGTTAGTAAACTAGTGTGTACACTAATTGGTGTATGTAACACTACTGATTTAAGTTTGAGTCGTGTTTAATTTGTTAAAAATTTATTTGAACTCAATTTAGGTTAGATTTGGCTTCTCTTAAAAAAGTTAAATAATCAAAAAATTAAAAAGTCACTATTTTATTTAAATTACATCATCTTATTTAAGTCACATTACCTCTCTACCACATAACTTCATAAAAATTCAAAAAATATATTTATTTATAATATCACAAACAACCCCCTATTAAGGTTTGAATATATTGTCTGTTTTGAGAAATAAGTTAAAAATTAGTTTTTATAGTTTTTTTTTTAAAAAAAATCGTATAAAAAAGTAGAGAGATGATGTAAGCTAAAAAAGTTAAAAAATTTAAAAGTTGACTTTTAATCTAATTGCCAAAATAGGCCATTATTTTAGTAGTTTTTTACATTATTTTTAATTTTTTTTATAAAAAATATATATAAAAAGTAAAAAGAAAAGCAAATTTTTAATTTTTTTTTGTATAATTTGTTTACATTTTTGTTCTTTTAATAAATTTTTGACTTTTAAATTTTACACGAATCTCAAACGAGATCTAAATAAATAAATTAATTTTAAACATATTTTATGACGCTTTAAAATTTTTAAACTAAATTTAAATAGCCATTAGTTTAATAAGTATAAAATAATATAAAAATATCAAACTAATCAATTATTTGTAATTGGTTGGAAAGTTTAAGAAATTAAAATTAAATAAATTTTAAAATCCGTTAAAACTTTTAACGATTAAAATAGAAATTTCTAGAAGATTTTTAGGATGGTGATGCTTGATTGCTTCTCTACATTCATTCATTGGGAGATAGACTGTTTGTGCGTTACGTGTCCATTAGTTGGTGTAGGTGAATGATTTGTGGGTCCAGATTCCCCGACCCCGATTAACCAATTAAAAATTACATTTTGATTGTATGACGCGGATACCGTTAACTACACCTCTCAAACATTATTATTTTATTAATCTTTGAATTGTTTTTTAGGGTAAATCTTTGGTCACTTTTTATTTTGACTCTTGAAATTTATTTATTTTTTATTTTGTCCTTATATGTTTTATTTTTTTTAATTTATTTTTAATTTTAATTCAAAATTAGACAGAAAATAACATATTAAGAATTGTGTGATACAAAATTATTTTATTATGTATAATTCATACTTTTAATACAAACTTAAATCTCAATATAATATTATATTTTTTTATGTTATATGCCAATTATCGTGACATTTTGTATCTAATTTTGAATAGAAATTAATTTTAAGAGTAAGTTAAAAAAAACTTAAAATATGAAGGGTTAAGATGAAAAAAAATTAAACTTTAAGAACCAAAATAATAAAAGTGACGAAACATAAAGGAGGCAAGATATATTTTATCCTTCTTTTTAATTAATCTTTGGATTTTTTTTTTTTGATAAATTACACTCACTTTCCAAAATTTAAAAATTGACTTTCTGATAAAAATTTTGAAAATAATTTGGTAAAAAATTATTAAAAAATTAAAAAAAAATTATTATTTTCATCTGATTTTCTCTTCTTTTTTTTTTCCCATCAAACTAACTTATAATTTTTTGAATTTTTTCTTAAAAAATAGGTTCTGTAAACTCAATCAAACAATAGTTCACTCAATAATTTTGTTGAAATTACATAAACCTATATAGTAACAACTTGAAACATAGTAATAAAATTATTAAATTATATTTAAATATTTTGCATTTAAATATATGCATCAAATGGCATAATTATTCATCATTTTCTAATTAATTTATCTAAATAGGATTTCGTTATTTAGCCTAAAGAATGTCACATGGTGCGCAAGAAACAAACAACCTTTGTAATTACTAACTTACAAAAAATGTGACAGAATGTATTTGGTCACAAAGTTAAAATTAGTGAATAAGTAACACAGTTATGATTTGTACAAACTTAACGAGGAATACCAATATAAAGAACCATTCAGTTGGAAGAGGTATGCTTTAGCATAGTATACACTCACTTGGTGTTACTCCTTAAAACACTATCTAACTTAATCATTGGAGTGTCCTTAGCTGGTAACTGTCGGTCAAAATTAATAGCAGTTTGTTATTTTGCAAATCTGAAGATCTTTTCATCTATCCAAGTGGATAAATTTATTTCTCATACGTTTATAATGAGAGACTTGTGTACCCTTCTCAATAACTTCTTGTGGTGATCAACAAATATTCAATAAATGAGGGAAAGTTAGGCGTTTCTATATACAATTAAAATTTTCATCATACTCACATGTATATTTATGTAAATTAGATTACAAAATTTTCTTTAAATTTTAACCAATTCAGTACACTTTTAATTATTAAATTATGTGAACGCTTTAAAATATAAGAAATAGAAAGATAGAAGAATTTAGATGCAAAAGATTTTGTGTGATTAGATACAAGATTTATAATGTATGTAATGATATATATAGTGAAAGGAAGATTTATTCACTGGAGCTTCTTTAAAGACCAAATAATTATAAAATAAAATAAAAAATAAAAAATAAAAATAAAGAAGAAGTTAAAATTCTAATATCTAATTCATGTTTCGCATATGTTCTCATACAATTTTTATTTTTATACATTTTTTAATATATTTTTAAATATAATTTTTACATATATACCAATATTAACCACCATTCCATACAAATATACCATTGGATCACGGTTAGTTTTCGTAAGGTCCTCCGCCCAACGACCAATCAGTGGATGCTTTTTAAGAATCAAATAATGTTAAAAAGTTAAAATTTCAATACATAGTTTACATCAATACATATTTTACATATTTCTATATTTTCACAATTTTTTTTTTATAATAATTTTACATTTTATAATTTTTTAAATTATTTTTTACATTTTGAATGGTGGTTGCCATTTGCCAATTCCACATAATCAAATTAAGTAGGTAATTGGTCTATCAGTGTTAGGATAAAATGATCACTTTGTAATTATTTTTTTTAAATAAGAGATTAATTATAAATATAAGAAGTATTACATCAAATTCGACAATTAAAATCTAATAATAATTAAAAGGTCATTAACCACTAACCCCAACAACTGCAACAAGAAGTAGTGTAAACCTGATAAATAAAAAACTATATACAATTCCCACAATGTGAGAGAAATAAACAACATAAAAATATCAAATTGCTTTTTATAAAAGTTGAATTCTCAATCTCATGCCATAAAGGGGATGTTTGTTTCAGGTTTTCAGAGTCAACTTATAGCTTTTAGCTTTAAAAAAGTTATTTTGGACTGTTTGGTTAAACTTATTTCAAACAGCTTCTGATTCTAACAGCTTATTTTAACTCAAAAAAGTTGATTCTGAGAAGCTGCTCACCCCTTATTTCTGATTATCAGCTTCTGCTGTGGACATATTAATTTATGGTTATACTCTTAATTTTTTTTATTTTTTATTTTTTTAAAAATAGAAAAAGACTCAAATGGACTATAGATTATTATTATTTTTTTTTATGAGAAATGTAGACAAACAAAAATTAAAAATTAATTGAAAAAGCTATTTCACAGCTTATTTAACAAATACTACTCAGCAACTTAAATCTATAATCTAAAAGTTATACCAAATAGATTAACAACTTCTGATTAAAGTCATAATTTATAATCTGTTAAGTTATAATCTATAAGCTATTTTAACAGCTACACCAAACGGGGCCAAAATAGTTTTACATAACTATTGGGTCAAATCAAAGGCACTGGTTAACTCCTATAAGCTAAGTTTGATGGCAAAAAATTTAAGATAGAATAGATTTT